AATGATTGGTGAGGTTGGTTTTTTTTGTTGGTTTTTTTTTCCCCTTCCCTAGATGATTTTTGAATTTAACAAAATAGTTRAAAACATTTGAGGTGCAAGCCTCTCAATTATCTGGGCTGGAACCTTCTGCCAGTAATAGGTGATGAGGGACTTGTTGTTTTGAAAGCCTCTGTTCCCWGGAATACGCAGAGTCCTGGCTCCTCACCAGCTTTTCCAAGTTAATCAACTTGCTGGTTGTTTTTCTTGTCTAAATTCCATTTTATGCTCTTCCTGAAACTCCAGTTTGTAGCTCTGGAGGAGAGGAAAGCATTTTTCAGTCCCTGTGTGTGTGTCCAGTGGGTTGGGATCTCCCCGAGGAACTCCCAGGGAGAAAGTTCTCCTTTTGCCTTTGAAATCAAAGGGATTATTTTGTAAGCTCCAGAAGAGAAAAGTCAAATGTCATTAAGATGCTGATTTTGGAGGTGATGCGGAATTATCTTCAATATTTTCACACAATTATTTTGTCTCGTGGACAAGATAACACTGCTGATAGCGTGGATTTTGGAAACTATTCGAAAGGGAATGATAACTTTGAATTCCCCTTATCTGTATTTGTTCAGTAAGTGCAGCTGCCTTGATTCCTTATCTTCAAGCAGTGATTTTGGGATAACAGGAACTTCCTTGGCAGCAGATTCCTGGGAGTCTTGTTTGTGTGCTGCAGATTCTGTCAGACTCAGACAGCAGGAAACTCACCCRCACTTCTGCAGGAAATTCATCATCAAAAGTCAGCTGGAGTCGCATAGTTGAATATTCCACTTTGTCTGACAACTTATTTTTGCATCAAGGGGTTTGCCAGTGTGGCTGGGCTGGGCTGGAGGCCCCTAATTCAGTTCTTTCACTGAGAGGCTTGCTAGCAGAAAAAAAAAAGAGAAGAAAAAAATCAAAATTGGATGTGTAATAGTGCTCACAGATCATTTCCACTGATGATGGACCGGTGTTGTAGTTARGAGAGAAGTGGATTTAGGGAGCACAGCCCACGCC